TAATGCACAAATAGTGTAACATAAAATGTGACCCTATGCAAAACTTATGGCACATTTTATAGTTTATATTTCATTATTTCCAAAATGTTAACTTAGCAAAATTGTAATAATCCATATTTCAGTTACCTGTATTGGATGTTTTGACTTATTTTCACTTAGAAAATCAGAAAAACATGTAATCTGATTGGGGTGTTTTGCATATGACTGAATATTACACTAAACTGTGTCAGTACAAAGTATTTCAATTTAACAGATTCATAAATATCTGACATTTGCTTTATGTAGATCCATGATGGACTCTTGGTCCATGCTAGTGACCCCAACACATCAGAACGGAGGCGCTGTGGCTTCGTGATCCGCTATGTGCCCACTGCAGCCTACCCGATTCAGGTGAAAAATCCTTTTAATATTAAATGTTTGTAATACGTTTTTCATTTGGGAGAGAAATTAGATTTATAAATGAAAAATCATGCAAAAAGCTCTTCTTTATGTCTTTTGCAGGATCCTGAACGACCCAGGAGTTTCCCTGCCACAGTAGTTGTTAGTGGACAAGACAAGTATAACTACTTCTCAAAGCAAAAGCCTGAACTGTGATTGCATTACTTGGATTACTGTATGACTACATACATCTACAGTGAATTATCTATTTATAATAATAACACAATGCCTATGTAAAATTTTCATTCTTTACTTTTACTTGTTACTGATGTTACTGTTGCACAATTAATTACAGAAGTTTGAGTAATTATTTAATGTTGCTTCTATCTACTGTACTGTATGTTGCATGATGTTGAATTTAAGCATTACGTTTGCTGCAGTCTGTTCCCTTCACTGACTTGAAATTCTAAATAAATTATTTGACACACTTTACTAGACGGACTTCATTGTTCAAAAAAGTTCAGTTTTGTATGTATCACATGTACTACTTTTATACCACACTCGGGCTCAGAATTGCCTGTTAACAAAAAACAAAACTACCTACAAATATTATAATATTGTTACTTACAGCATAGCTAATTGATCACTATGCTGTACTGATTTATTTGAATTATGAATTATTTATATGACATGATAAAGAGAAAGATAAAGAACAGAATAGGTCCAAATACAACTAGAGTTTAAGAGAATGTGATGCATTAATTTTGTATTTGCAGAAATTATATAAATATAAAGCTTCAAACAGTACTGTTGGGTTTTTAAGCTGAATTTATGGGTTGGCAAAGTAACTGAACAGCCACAAGCAATAAAAATATAGAATAAAGAATAAAAAATCATTTAATCTGTTTTTCTGGCCTTGGATTACACAAATCAAGAAAAAAATCACATGCTGTGTTTATTTTAGATTTTTTAGAGTTGCATCCCTAAGATATGTTGCCTTATTAAGCTGGACAGTTTGTCAAATAAATTTATTTTTTTAATCAGGTTTTTTCATAAGTGAAATAAAATCTTGGTTCCTGTGTTTTCTTGTCTAATTTCAAAACATGCACAACTATTAATGTTTTGACATAAAAATGTGCATAAAGTCAATCCAACTGTTATCAAATATGCACCAACTAGTCATAAATAGCCCCCTTGAATAACAAACTGTCAAAAATTCAGTGTGGCAGTATTTTGGAAGACAAACACACAAATTCAAATATGCTTTTAGAAAGCATTTTGTTTGCTTGAAAGCCCTGTTCCTCAAAGGAATTACCTACCACCACTGCTCACACATTAGACAAGCTCTCTATATTATCAACAAGCTGTTATAGGAATTTTAATTAATCTCAAAGGTGTTGGACAGGGTTGAGGTCAGGACTCTGTGCAGGCCAATCAAGTTCTTCCACACCAGTCTCTCCAAACCATTGCTTTATGGATTTTTCCCAAAGTGCTACTAAGAAGTTTTAAGCACATAATTCTCTATAATGTGGTTAAATGCCCCTATGTTGGACCTAAGGTTCCAAGCCTAACCCTCTAATCAAATCAAATCACATTTATTGTCACATCACATTTACACAGTGCAAGGTGAGCGAAAATCTTAGGTGCGTAGCCCCCTTGTAGAATATATATGTATGTGTGTGTGTGTATATATATATATATATATATATATATATATATATATATATATATATGTAATATGTATGTATGTGTATATGTATGTGTGTGTATGTATGTGTGTGTGTGTATGTATATATATAAGAAAAAAATATAAGAAAAAAGAAATATATATGCACATACTCTTAATATATACATATATACACGCTAATATACACTAGTATTCCAATGTACAGTTTTGTCCAGTAATAAGATATGAAATTAAACTATGATTTGTACTGTTGTGCACATTTCCGTATGTGCAGTTAGTGAGTCTGAGGTAGATAAATGAGATGCAGGTAAACAGGGGAGAGAATATTGATATAGAAATCCTCCAGATTATACAACAGAAGATGTACAAGATGTGAGTCTATGTGTGTAAGTATAGATTTGCTGGATTGAAGGTGCTGTAAGATCAGAGTGAGTCTGTTGGTGTGGGTGAGGTGTGGATTGTCCATGGAGATCATCATGATGATGACTCAGAGGTGCTATAATGTGAATGGGTGTCCACATACTTTTGGTCATGTTGTGAATGTATTTTGTACAGATGCTAAATGTATCCCAGGGGATGGGTAGAGGTTAAAGTCTGTTATACAACATCATTATGAACATTATTTACAACATATTTCTTTGTCAACCTGTAAAGACACTGCTCATATTCAGTAATATGGAGTTTAGGTTTGAATTGTACAGAAAACGTACAGAATAAAAGTATAATTACTGAGCACTTGCATAGCATATTACCTTCAGGCACACCTGTCAACCAATCTCAGATGACTTGAACCATATTGTTCACAAAAAAAATGGCATGACTGTGAAAAACTCTTGCCGCACCACCTAAAGCGTGTCAGAGTGAGCGTATCCTGTGGGCTTTTTGAAGAGTTGAACAATGTCACTATTGTTCAGTTCAAGGCTCGTCATTTAAACCAGTTTGGACACTCAACAGTGAATTCAGGTGTATAGTATGACATTGTTTTACAGGGCAGCTGTGTTGTTAATGATAATGTAAAACCACTGTAACCTCACTGACTGGTGGGACCTCTGAAGTTATAGGCTGGGTGTTGATGTGATCACAGTGTAGTCATTTATGATCAGTGCTGAGTTAGTTAGTCAAAAAGTGTAAACTTAAGCAAATCACGTAACCATATTTGTAATCATTGCATTCCATTTTTATTTACATTTTGCACAGGGTTCCAACTTTTTTGGTAATGGGGTTGTAATAATATTCCTCACATTATGCTTGTGGGCTTTGTGGCATGAATGAAACAGTCTGGCCTGTTTGGGTCAGATTTGACCTCTCTTTACTTTGGCACAGGGATCTTCAACCATTTCATATTAACACGCAGTCTGATTGACTGCCTTGACAGACAGACTGCTGGTTGAGTTTACAGTGGTGGAAATTAAAAATAATGAGACTACAGTTCTGAACATCAACTCATCCTACTTGAGCCTCGTCCATTAGGTGCGCTTGTGGTCCTTTTTGGTCATTTCAGTCGTAAAAAAGGGGGGCTCACGAATGCCTTCTATGGGCCCTTAATGTGGCCTTTAGCAGAATCCAAATGATTATTTCAGGCTTTACAGAGTGACCTTGTAACTCCATATTTTGGTGTGTTTTCTCTGTACTCAGTAATGCTAATTCTTTCATTTTTGACAAAAAATATTACATCGTGCTGCGTTAAATGAATTGCTTTAACTTGGCTATGCGCATACCAAATCATTTAGTAGTCTTGACCACAATAACTCAACACAATGACTTTTATAGGATACATATATATATATATATATATATATATATATATATATATATAATCACCAGTCTATCGCAGGGCAGACAGACAGACATGCATACATATACAATCACACACACACTCACACCTAGGGGCAATTCAGCATTTCCAATTGGCCTGACTGCATGTCTTTGGACTGTGGGAGGAAACCCACACAGACACGGGGAGAACATGCAAGCTCCACACAGAAAGGACCCTGGTCACCCGGCTGGGAATCAAACCCAGGCCCTTCTTGCTGTGAGGTGTATAATATAATATATAATATTATGGCAAGCCAAACAGGAAATATTTAATGAACATTGATATATATGGAATGAACATTGATATATATACAATGAACTTTGATATATATGGAATGAACATTGATATATATTGAATGAACTTTGATATATATACAATGAACATTGAAAAGTTCATTGTATATATATCAAAGTTCATTCAATATATATCAATGTTCATTCCATATATATCAAAGTTCATTGTATATATATCAAAGTTCATTGTATATATATCAATGTTTATTGTGTATATATATCAATGTTCATTAAATATTTCCTGTTTGGCTTGCCATAATATATATATATATATATATATATATATATATATATATATATATATATATATATATATATAAAATGCATGTGTGTGTACACCGATCAGGCATAACATTCTGACCACCTCCTTGTTTCTACGCTCATTGTCCATTTTATCAGCTCCACTTACTATAAAGGTGCACTTTGTAGTTCTACAGTTACAGACTGTAGTCCATCTGTTTCTCTGATACTTTGTTAGCCCCCTTTTACCCTGTTCATCAGTGGTCAGGACCCCCATGGACCCTCATAGAGCAGGTACTATTTGGGTGGTGGATCATTCTCAGCACTGCAGTAATGCTGTGGTGTGGTGTGTTAGTGTGTGTTGTGCTTGTATGAGTGGATCAGACACTGCTGTGTCTGATCCACTTGTACCAGCTGCTAGGTAGCAGGGAACACATTAAAGGTTCAGCCTTAGACAAATGTATTTGTTAAAGATGAGACATAAATCATTCATTTAAAGCAAAGTGATTAAAAATTGTGCATTTTTTATTTCTTTCAGCTTAAGTACGGTTGCACAAGTTACATTAAGATGCTGCCGTATTCAAAGAAACTTCTAATTTCTAATTTATTTGTACATGATTTAGGGTCAAAATCATGTTATTGAGAGTGAAAGAGATTTCATTACAACCTATTAATGACACAAACATTTATTTTATTGACATGTATTATCACAAAAAAAAAAACATTTAGATGCAGATGCAGGTAATTATGGTTTAAAGTCAAATTCATAACCACAAATAAATACCATCTTCACAATAAGAGACAAGACAGTATGCAAATAATAGACACAACAAAGGACATTTCACAAGTTAAGCCTGAGCAATCAGTACAGAGATGAATGAAATCAGACCAGTTTAAGAACTTCTGTGACCATCACGCCCAGTCCATCAAAGATCTCATGTATGGGGGCGTTGCACATAAAGGCACTGGTAGTCACCAGCTTATTCTTCTTATCCACATGCACTTCTCCCACATGCTTGTTAACGTGCTTACAGCCCAGCTCCACCATTGACTTGGCCACACCGGCGTATGGCCACCTACAACAGCAACAGAGGGAGAGAAGATCAGTATTGCAGGTGATCCAACATGTGAGAATGGTGACATGTTCCCAGCATGCCGCTGCTGCAGTGAATAATAATGCTGTAAACTATAATGACTTTGGATGCTCATTTTACTAATCTGCACTGAGCTAATTTGAATGTTTTAAACATAATAAACAGAACATGAGGATACATTTTCACCTTTGTAACAAAAAAATGGTGTAATTTGATATTAGTCAAATTTTGACCACTATTTCTCTCCCATACACTCTGCCTCTAGAAGAACCACCTCTGGCTCCTTCAAATCCATGCAGTGGATGGCTCTTTACAGAATAATGAGTTTAAAGGACAACCACGTAATGTAATTCTGCGAAGAACCTTTAAGTGGTGTAGAACCTTTACATTATGTGTGTGTTAAGTTCTTTAAGCCTGTAAAAGATTCGTTACGCTCACCACTCTCTTGTTAAACATGCTTTTTTAGGGAACTAAAACTGGTTCTTATGTCATCACTTAAAGACGAATACTCACTTCTCACATTCGCAGTCATGGCCTACGGTGAGCTCACAGCCGGGGATGGCCTTTGCAGCAAGGACTGGAGAAATGCAGCACATGGCAATAGGCTTGCCTGCCTGGTGGAAACTCTTGATGACCTTCTCGACCAGAGGTTTCACTGAGTACTCTTTTCCTTTGGTGGCCCAGTCGCTCAGGTTCTTAGCTGCTCCAAACCCTCCTGCACAGAGCAGCACTCAGTTCATTATTACACTCCTTTATATGAAACGTTATGGATCTCCAGATCTCACATACCAAATGTAGCTTCAGTTTAAAATAACTTCAATGGCTGCTAATAATGGCTGGTTTACTGTGTGTTTGGGTTCTAAAATGTCAAACTGACCTGGAATGAGGAGAACATCATGGTCAGCTACGGTTAGCTTGGCCAAGTCGGTAACCTCTCCTCGAGCAATGCGGGCACTTTCCTCCATCACGTTCCGCTTGTCTGTCACAGGTTTTCCCTCACAGTGGTTCACTACATGCATCATATCAGCATTGGGGGCAAACATCTGGACCTGCGGTAGATAGTGGCCTTATTTGATGTTCAGATGTTCCCCGCTTTGGGGTTTGGGGTGGGCAATATGGCAAAATTATAACGTCATGATACCTCAAGACATTTTGACAATACACAAGATGTATCGCAATGTTCAGTTTTACTGATGTTTGAGTAGATGGGACAGACAAAATTTTAAATTAGTGCCATGCTTTAAAAATGCTATCAATAACTATGAATTCAATGATACAACATCTTATATACAGTCCTATATAACAGTTTAAACACCCCCAAATGACATGTTTGGTTGATTTTCTAATTGAAAATAAGTAAACACATAATCTACAGGGAAGAAACTTAAATGTGGCACTTTTCTGATTTTTGATTTTATTCATTAAAATGAAACTTTAATATTAAATGTGCCATAATGTTTGCACAGGTCACTATTTTTCCCTCAATATATTAAATTTAGCAAATAAACCGTAACTGTGCAAAAGAGGATATATATCCTTATTTTCACTTATTTTCAACAAAACGTGTAATTTGACCAGTGGTGCCAAAACTTTCGCATAACTGTCCTTACCTGTACTAACAATCCAATTAAACAAGCCAATTATGCTGTATTTGTGATCAAACATGCAGCTGGTCAGCAGTCTGTCAGCCCTGACAATATCCACAAAATTCCATGAAAAGCATGGAACATAAATTGTCATGTTATCACGATAACAATAGGTATCGTCACATCGCCCACCCCAGCTCAGATCTGATGTGCAGATGCTGTGTAATAAGAAACTTTGTAGGCCTGGTAGTCTCAATATCAAACTTACAGGAAGGTAATCAAACTATGCTGCCACAGGTGAGAACTGATACCCTACATTTAAAAATCTGATACATGATATGCTTTGTGTATGACTTTATCCCAGCTTACCTTAACACCAGCCCGACTAAGGTGGACCAGGATGGCAGAAGCCTCGTGGATCTCTGTCCCATCATAGACTCCACAGCCAGCAAGGATTACTGCTGCACGCTTTGCCATGGTACCTGAGTAGCACACCCCAACTTATTGATCAGCAGCCATCAACTGAACCTCATTATTCAAGAAAAAGGCGATTTGCTAGTTGACTCAGTGCAAATATACTGCTTAATACGCAGCTGAGGCAAGGCCAAGTGATGAGGTACGTGACAAAGGTAAACACCAGGTGGCCGTGACACAGCATTTTGCAGTATTAAATATTCAAATAGAGCTGGCAGCCTCTGGGGAGCTTTTTCCAGGTAACGTGTAACCACCTCAGTCTCCAAGCAGCTCACATAAACAAGCTCAGCAGAGGGCAGCAAGTGTGGAGATGGCCAAGTAGAAACGCAGCATATCATAATTAACTCATCCATCACTGTGGCTGCAACTGTGTTCTCAAAAACTATAAACCCTTTTCAGCTTGGGTCTTAAAATGATCTATGTTAGTGCCTAGAATACAGTTCAGTAGTTAAAATAGTTCAAATAAAACAGCTTTCCTAGTTCAGCGGTCTCAGTTCACTCTCTCAAAACTCAAAATAGTTAACTGGAACATATGACTCACCTTTTGAGGAAGGAGAGGAGTTTGTTGAGTCGCTGGAAGCCCTGGAAGTGTCTCGGTTACCACACCAAACAAGCAGAACGGCAGTTCCTTTATATGCGCTCCAGCTGTAGTACCTCCCACTGAGGCGAGTTGAACCAGAGTAGACACACCTTTTTTGGACAAAGGGGCTCCACATGAGAGCTGCCGGGAAGGAAGAAGGCCAATAATTGCCTCAGTTTACTTAGTAAGATAATGCTTAGTAATGGCAGCAATCCTTCTACAGCATCAATATTGATGCTAGTGTTGTATTAACTACAGCAGACAAGGTAACACACCCCAAAAAAGAAATGATATCTTGGCATGTGAACATTGATATATAAATTCATTTTAAAAGTGATGTAAACATTATGAGATTGTTCAACTTATTTCTTGACATTTTTCACTGTCACTTCATGTTTTACATCTAATATCTTTTTCTATTGATAATCTTGATATTTTTGAGCCATATGTCTTGACATACAAGACACAATGGCTTAGAACAAGTAAAAGCATCTGGAAATAAGCTGAATCCTCTATTCAACAAGATAAGGGGAACTACTGGATATAAGAATACATGTTCTGTTGAAGTTTAAAAAATAAGGTAATGTGCTTTTTGAGTAACTTAAATATGACATTTCTCTGCAAACTTTGGCGCACAGCTTCTGTTGGCTGAGTTCAACATACAAAAGGGTACGACGTAAAACGCAAACGGTGCTATCACTTTTGCACAGGCCACATAGTACGCTTTACCATGTTGAATTTAGCAAATAAACAGTAATAGTGCATGAGATCGTGCTGGAGTGTGTTCTCTGTAGGGGACGTGCACTTATTCTCACTTAGATAATCAACAAAACGTCATTCGACCGGGGTGCCTAAACTTTTGCACACAATGATTTATTCACAAGATTTAGGATGTTTTGCCAAGAAATGATTTTGAGCAGTGCAGTGGTAACAGGAACCACCTACTGATTCTTGTCCGTGTTTCAAAATTGGTTTTTAAAGACAACCCGGAAAACTTATTGGAATATTTTGAGCTCTTCCAGTGGAAAAGCAGATATTAACATTTCTGGATTTCCTATTTGATTCTGATTTTCCTATTCTTTCCTATTTTATTTTGTGCAGCATTTTACAGTAAAAGAGAATGTCATGCTTGTGAGAACCTAAACAAAGCTTTATTTATACTTGTAGTTTTTTGCTTTGTTTTTGATGTTAGTTGGTTTTGTTTTGTTTTGTTTTCCATTTTAGCCTCTCCAAGAGCTGCTTGGGAGCCTTTGAGCTCTGAGCAGCTCGTTTATGTAATGAGGGTTTGTACCTCTTCTCTCGCTCTGACTCTCCAGAGCAGCCGGACTTTGTTCTGATGATGACTTGACGGAAACTCACTCCGACCGGGAAGTTCCTGGAAGGTAAAGCGTCTCGAGCGGCGTGAAAAGAGACGGTGACGTCACGAGATGTGACGTAATGCGACAGAACTTGTCTATAAGACGCAGCGCGCGGCTACTTGGCGCTGTTACTATGGCAGCTGCTCACTCTGATCCGCAATCGCTGCATTTCTCCGTTGGTGTTTTGGGGATCTCAGCCGGTAAGTCGCTCAAACCTGGAGCACTGCAGACTCAGAGATTCAGAGACTCGGAGAAAAGGTTATTCACACACATACAAGATAGATAATTGGCTAAATATTAATATTAAACATACATACATACATACATACATACATACATACATACATACATACATCATCTAAACCGCTTATCCTTCTGGGTCGCGGTGGGGTGCTGGAGCCTATCCCAGCTATCATTGGGCAGAAGGCAGGATACACCCTGGCTAAATATTAATATTAAATATGTGTATTTTAATTTTGTTTCATTCTTTTAAGACGCAGCCTTAGATAGCTCTTCAACGGTTCTTTAGTAAAGGCAATGATTCTATTTAGTCCTGTATAGAACCATTTGCATGCTTAAATGGTTCTTTGCATGGTGTAATGGTTCTTCAGATTGACGGAGAATGTGTTGTGTATGGTTCTGTGCAGCACCTTTTTGAAAATGGTTCTATATACCAAGAAAAAACAATAGCAGAGCCCTTTTTGGTGCTTAGAGAACCAAATACAACACATTTTCCATCAATCTGAAGAAATATTTCACCATGCAAAGAACAATTTAAGCTTCCACATGGTTTTTAATATAGAACCCAATATAGGTTCTCAATAGAACAATTGCCTTTACTAAAGAACCCTCGAAGAACCCTTGTTTGAGGGTGTGTATGAAAGTTTTGCTTGCATTTACAGTGTTGAACAGTTTAGAATCACTCGTATTAATAACTGCTCTATGTTTTCAGTAGTGACTTGTTGTACAGTGTAGATTAAAGAACGTTTTTTTTTGGGGCGAATCCTAACTTATGTTAATTAATAATAAACAATATCTGTTTATAGCAAGTTATCAGTTATGATAACGAGTTATCTTAACGTTTCAAATGAGAATAATTCTGGAAGTTTACTTTCACTCCATTCTCAGTGTTTTACAGCTTCCTCAGTCTTCAGAATCAACTACAGCCTGGGCGCATCTAACGTTTCAGTTTTTCACAGCTTACAGTTGAAATTTCTAAAGTTGTAGCATTATAATAGAATCATTTCATACATTTATCTTCACCATTTCGTGATTCCAGACCTCTGAACGCTTGACGTATGTTTATTGTTTATTTTCTCTTTGCTGTGATGAAAGTAAATGTGTTCATTTTTGTATCCTAAAAAATCTCGTGACTGAAGAAGCAAATTCGAGAAGTAGCCATTATTTTTGTAAATGGTAGAACATTACTTTTGCATGTTTAGATTGTCATAAAAACAAGCCCTGTGGTCTGCTTTCTATTTATTTATTTATTTATTTATTTATTTATTTATTTATTTATTTCGCACCGTTTAAACAGTTTCACTACACTACATACATCTCGCCAGTAGAGGGCGTCTAACGTTACTGTATTACTGACAGGACAAAAGGAAGGGTTCAATTGCTGTGTAATCTGTGTTAGAAATCAATACAGCAGTGTGAAACAAATTCTCCTTTTCTGATGAAGGTTCTTTGCTGCTTCTGGTCCAAAACTATGGCAGCTCCCCTGGCAAACACCTCATCCCCAGCACTGCTCTGGGGATTGAGCTTCTTATTATTGCTGCCCTACTGGCCTACGCAGGTAAGGGTCACCAAAAAGAACACGATATGTATATACATCAGGGGAGAAAGGTACTGTAAAGGTACAGTAAAACAAAGGTCCATCTAAATATTTCCCAGTGAAAAGTTACAAATTTGTACCTTTTTAATAGTCTAATGTTTTTAAACAGAACAATAAAATAAACAATTGTAGAGAAGGTGTGGGGATCCAGTACAAGGTAAAAATGTTACTGCAATGGATTATGGTACAATCATGTCAGTGACTGTACAGTACCTTTTTTTCCAAGTGTGTACACATACTTTAAAAAAATCATAATTTTATATAACACCCATATTTATCTGTGACAAATAACGGTAATGTAGAAATACACTGCTTACTCACAAAACAAGCCAGTTTGTGTCCAGTTTAAACAGTCATGTCAAATACAAAAACATCCTTTAGGAATGCACCTCAGTAAATTATTTTATACTCCACCTACTGTCACGACATACCCCTGTAAAGGAGCAGGCTGAAACAGTAAGTGGAGTATAAAGTAACTTTTTGATGTACATTTTCTAAAGGACATTTTTAAAGTTTACCTTTTTTTAATTTAGTGCAGTAAACAAACATGAGAAACATCGACACTGCTAAAAAAACAAAACAGTTCTTCTCTTAAAGGCACAAACACCAAGGTGGGAGATAATGATGTGGCAGAAAATGGCAGAACAATCTGCGCATTTTCATCATCTTTATTTCTGACTCTTATTTATTGTTTACATGGCTATAATTATAGTGGCTAACTAGTAATAAAATAAAAAAAATGCGAAAGCTTTTATTTTAAATTTGACATAATATGCTACAACCTAATGCTAGCTCCGTTAAGTTAAGCTCCATTTTTCTCACCGGCTCGGATATGTCCTCATCCTCCACAAGCAGCTTTTTCATTTTGAAGTCAGGCTTTATTGTCATGTCAGCTCTATACAAGTACACAGTGAAACAAAACAACATTCCTCCAGAAACAACAAGTGCGAGACAATACGATACTGACAATACAGTACAATAAATAAATATGAAAGACTTACAATAAATACTAAACAGAACACAGGCAGCACACGGTACTGAGAGTATGTGGAGCTGTGCAAAGGAGGATGGAACACACTATGACATATTAGCAGATAGCCTAGCATATCGCTGTTGTCGGAAGAAAACCTGACGTCTCCATTTTTGTCGTTTTTCAGTTTTTAAAATAATTTGAAAGTACCTGTTACTCTTTACATTGTGTGTAAATTTCATGATGAATGGACCAAAAGAAACAGCGCAAAATGACTTTGAAGAAAGTCTGGTTCCATTAACTTACATTAAAAGACAGAGAGATCACATCACTCCCGTTTTGAAAGAGCTGCACTGGCTGCCTGTATCATTCAGGATAGATTTCAAGGTCCTGCTACCAGTCTTTAAAGCTCAAAACAACCTGGCACCTGCTTACATCACAGCGTGTCTGTCTGTTTATGTTCCAGCACGCAATCTAAGATCTGCAGATAGTGGCCTTCTACAGACACCCTCTGTACAATACAGGAAACAGGAAACTGACTCTTTCAGTTATTCTGCTTCTAAACTGTGGAGCTCAGTTCAGCTTTTATTAGACAGTCAAGCTCAGTGCTCACTTTTAAGAAGCACCTAAAAATGTCTCTCTTTAAATTAGCATTGAACTAAAACTGAATGTCTCATGGTTTTTATCTTGTAATTTAATTTTCATTTTCTTCTGATTCTAATTAAGTATTAATGATCTTTTCTATAACTATGTTTTATCACCTGTCTGTAAAGCACTTTGAGCTGCCACCGGCATGAAAAGTGCTTTATAAATAAAATTATTATTATTATTATTATTATTATTATTTTTATTATTATTAAAAGTAAAGTATGTTTTTTCCTTCTTCTGTAAAGTTACCGTTTTGGAGATACGAGGTTTAGTTC